AGCTTCATAACTTTTACTCTCCTCCAAGTATAATTAGAATGATCAAGTTAAAGAGGATGAGGTGGGCAGGGCATGTAGCACAAATGGGGGGAGACGAGGAATGCATATAGGATATTGGTGGAAAAGCCAAAACGAAAGAGACCACTGGGAAGACCAAGGCATAGGTGGGTGGGCAATATTAAAATGAATCTTAGAGAGATAGGAAGGGATGGTATGGATTGGAGTGATCTGGCTCAGGATAGGGAACAGTGGATTGCTCTTGTGAACATGATAATGTACCTTCGGGTTCCATTAAATTCTGGGAAATTCTTAAGTAGCTGCATATTTGGCTTCTCCTCAAGAAGGGCTCAGCTCCATAAGTTAGTATATATGTTTTTGTTTATATTTGGGGAAGGGGTATGTTTTTTCTTGTATTGATGGTTTTGTAGTATGTATTTTGCTGTCTTGTAGGTATATGAGTGTGTTTTATCCTTGTTTTGTGTTCATGAAAATATACCATGTCTTCTTTAATACTTAAGTGCATGATTTGGAGCGAAGTATTGTTTCTTACCTTGTATTTGGGAAAGAACACAGTAAAACATACGTTACAACAAAATCAATGCCAAATAAATGGATCCATGAAAAGGAAACTTAACAATGACAAAAAAAAATAAAAAGACAGCAGACCAGTGTCACACCAAAACAAACACCCAAGGACAAAACAAATGGATCACATTTACATACTTTGGACATGAAACTCACAAAAATATTCAAAGACATTAACACCAAAATAGCATTAAAAGCCATGAACACCATACAGAAACATTTACAGCAAATACCGTGAAAAAGTAATAAGTGTGAGGAATGGTGTATAAACTGAAATGTTTAGATTGCCCCTTACAGTATATAGGCCAAACAGAATGATCATTCCAACCCAGATACAATGAACATACACTTGCAGTAAAACATAACAAAGACATGTCTACCTATGCACATAATACAAATAGCAATAAAAACAAACACATAAACAGTTTAGAAAATTTTCATACTTATTGTGTATGTCAACAAAACAAGCAAGTGAATGAAGTACTATTTCACCTTCAGAATCCACTATTTGATGCGCCATACAAGGATCATATTAGCAAACACACACCATCCCAGCAGATGGCATTACCTTGTATGCACAACAATATATATATATAGACATCAGTTTCACAACCACCACATACAAGACACAACATTTCACCCAAATACAAGGTGAGAAGCAATTCTAACTCCTACCAGCTCTCAATACTTAACTTCAAAATCATGCACTTATATACTAAAGAAAATACAGTATATTTTCATGCACACAAACAAGGAGAAACTGCAGTTATATACCTACAAGCCAACAAAACACACACCACAAAGATATTGATACAAAGTAAGGAAAAACATACCCCCTCCCCTCACAGATAAATAAAAACATATATTCTCATAAAAATTTGTTCACATTCCAGACCAAGAAGAACCCCAAAGAAATACAATAGTGGAAGAGGCACATCTCCACATAACTACAACATCCAAGCAAACACATAAGAAAACCTTTTATGTACGTTTATTTTTAATGATTTTAACAGTTAAAATTTAATCCTAGGGGTGAACACACCTTTTTGTATATATTGGCATTACATACTACTAAAACCAGTATTCCAATGTGTAAACACTGGCCAGTGTAGGAATACTATCAGACAAATACAGTTGAACATAAAGTAAAATACCTCATCATATCTTAATGAGCTGAAACATGCTGTAGCAAACATATGTGTGTCCATGCTGCCTCTTCTGGTGATGGAATAAAATAAAGAAATTTGTACACAAGTCATTTTAATACATTCCAGAATACTGTAAACAGTTTTAGATATTCTGTTTTATTGCAGTCATATGAAGTGTATATTGTCATGTACAAATGGACAAGTGTTTAGAAGCAAAGAATGTTTGATTGTTTCAAATGTATTTTAAGTATGCTAAGGGAACAGCCCTGAGGAAAATGAACATTTTGATTTAAATTGAAATTCCCGAAGCTATGGACATTCTGTTTGGAAGTAGTAATGCATCTGCAATAAACTATAGCTATATTACGAGGGGCGTTCAAGTTCTAAGGTCTCCAATTTTTTTCTCAGGACTGGGAACAGATAGACACATGCGGTTTAGTTTAAAATACGTGTGCACTCTTTGTGAATGCGTGACAGAGATGGCAGCACTCTATGGCACACAGAACTCTAGTGGTAACGGTGAGAGTGAGGAGTGTTTTTGATACTTAAAATGGCAACGTTTTCGTTACAAGAACAGCGAGTAATCATTCGTTTTCTCCACTTGTGTGGTGCGACACCCATTGAAATTCATCGCCAGTTGAGTGAGACGTGTGGTGATGGTGTCATGAATGTGAAAAATGTACGTTCGTGGGCGCGACAGTTCGAAGAAGGCCGAACGTTGTGTGACAACGAACCAAAACAATCTCGGCCTTGCACCAGCCGGTCTGACAACATGGTTGAGTGAGTTGAGAAAGTTGTTTTGGAGGATCGCCGATTGAGTGCGGAAAACATTGCCTCCAAAGTTTGCATTTCTGTGGTATCTGTGCACAAAATCCTGAATGAAGAACTGCGAATGCGGAAAGCGTCCTCCAGGTGGGTGCCACAAATTCTGGCGGATGACCACAAGGCTGCACGCATGGCAGTTTGCCAGGCGATGTTGACACGTGATGAAGGCATGAATGGGACTTTCTTTTCATCAATTGTGACAATGGATGAGACATGGATGCCGTTTTTCAATCCACTATTGCATCAGCAATTTTCCAGTGGTCAAAACAGACTCCTACAGAAGCGTTCGCAGCGGCCATGGAATCATGGCGTCGACGTTGTGAAAAATGTGTACGGCTGCAGGGAGATTACGTTGAAATGTGACAGAAGTTTCAAATTTTTTGTATGGTTATTGTATGAGAAAAAAATTGGAGACCTTAGAACTTGAACGCACAATGTGTATATTTCCATTTCTTCATGTAAGAACAATTCTCATATGTCAGATTAGAGATAGGATAAGATAAGTCTGTTTGAAATTTTGATTGCATATTAACCATGCACTTGATGTGTTGCCTGTAACGTATATGGCTAGCCTGAATTATTCCATTATGTGTTTCATTCTTTTGCTTAAGCCATTAGGGTTGAGTTTTTTGAGTACAGGAAAATACTGTACATTGGGGCTGGGATTATTACTAAAAAGAAATCAACACCTAATGAAAAAGAAAATAGTACTTTGCTTCTATCAGGATATATCATAGGTACTGATACTGCATAAATGTGTTACAGAGGCATTCTAACACATATCCAAAAACTGAACATAACCACCTTCTCTGTAAGAAAATTCCAAAATTGTGTACAAATTAAGAAGACAGATAGTTCTGTAAGCTATAGCCTTTGGGTTAATGTCACACAGACCATACCAAATAACTTGTTGACTTTTTAATATCAAATTATTACTGTTGATTAAAAAACAGCACATATGTAAGATTTGAGGTTTTCGCTGCAGTGACTATGAAGAAAGCAGTCTTCTGGGATTTGGCACCGTGTATATGTGATGTTAACCAATGTTTCAGAGGAACGTATCGCCTCCATCTTCAGGGTAGAAGGAAAATATAAGAAATCCGCAAGCGAAGGAACCGTGAGAACCGGTAAAAGCAGACTGGTGTTGGAAATATACACAGCTATGTGAGAGCAGTGAAGGAAAAGGGGGAAGGGCAAGTCTACATGTGAAATCAGTGGAGTGGGAGGGGTGGGAAGGAGCTGGGACAGAGCAGGGTTTTGTGTTGGGGGAGAGAAAAAAAGGTTAAAGGCTGGGCACTAATCCCCTTACCCCCCCCCCAGCTTAAGGGTTAGTTTCAATTTAAATTTGGGAAACAAAGAGAAATCACAGGGGCTAAGTTCGGTGAGTAGGGAGGATGGGGAATGATAACCATCCTGTTCTTAGTCACAAACTCTGTTCTTTTCAGGGACATGTGGGTGGGCACACTGTGGTGAAGGAGGCAGTTGTGGTTGCGCCAAAGTTCCAGTCTTTTTTGTTGCACATTTTCTCTCAAGCATCTCATAATGTCAAAGTAAAAGTCAGAGATGATCATAGTGTTAGGAGGAACAAATTCATGATCAACAAACCCCTTTATGTCAAAAAATATGAGCAAGCTCTTTGTTGAACTCTGGACCTGCCATGCCTTTTTTGCTCTTGGTGATTGTGGGCTCTTCCACTGTGACAGTTGTTGCTTTGTTTCTGGATCATAACCATAAATCCAGATTTTGTCACCTGTTATGATCCTAGAGATACACATGAAAGTTGGGTCCCATTAACTTTCTTTTGTAGCTCAAGATACACATTTAGGCACCACTGCTTTTAATCGTTTGTCAGGAGTCGGGGAACAAACTTTGCAGCAACATTTTCTGTGTTTCTGCTGGTGCTTGGTCGCCCTGAACGTTCGTCATCATCAACTGACACTCGACCGGCCTTGAAACGTGAATGCTATTCAATAACCACAGTCTTGACTCAAAGAATGTTCTCAAAAAGCCTCATGAAGTATTCCCAGGGTTTTGGTAGTGGACTTACTGAGCTTCACATTGCAGACACATTGCTCAATTTTGCCACCCACAGCAGACAAAATGAAACACAAAGTCGAAAAAAGCATTCATATAAAAATAATGCGTGTTTACACCGCAGTGTCACGTGGCAGACTGATGCAATATGCTTGTGGAAGTGTGACTTTGACCTCCCCTCTCATCTCCTTTCACTGATGCAGTTATAGCAATAACAGTCTGGAAACTTTCCGATAACACCTCAGATCAATGATGTGAAATAGTTCATTGTCAGTTGTGTAGGTGCTGAGTTAATTCATGTGATATTATACTGACAGTATGTTATTTTTCATTAGACTGTTCTCGTACGTGTTGAGATTGGCTTATTTCTCTGACATTTGTTGTAATTGAAAAAGTTTGTTTGTCCAGATGATCATCACCATCGAAACTTTCAGTATGAGCACAAGCACAACCACACCCATAGTGTGCCTGCATTAGACACAACTGAGATGACTACTTCAGGTTCAGTACAAGAGACCCACCCAGATGGTTTGGATGAACTGCGACCAATGGATACAACCTGTAACTCTGTGGCCCCAGGTCCAGACAGTGAACATGGTACAGATGTGAATCCTAGTGAAGCAGAGAGCTACACGGTCATTATCAGGTAGTTTTTTTTATAGAATGTATATATTATCACAGGTTGGTGATTGCTAATTGAATTTGTTGGACACCTGTTGCTCCTAACTACAAATAACTACACACAGTTTCATTATTATTCTTAATCTTTAAATAACTACAGCACTTTCTAAGTCTTTTCAGTCTGCTACTTCTTCCTGTATTTGTTGCTTGGTATTGCCTCAAGTAATATTTCCATGCTCAGCAGCTCCCCTTTGACAGCTAAGGCTTCTAGTCTCACTTGCTCTTTTTATATATCTCTGACATAGACTGATTAGGAACCAGTGCCTCCAAAATGCTTCTCAGACTCCTGTGTTGCATGTTCCTTGACCTAAAAGGTAATATTTTCTGTGTTTATTCCCGGTTATAGTAATTATCAATTTTTCATGGCTGATTTAGTCAGTATGCAGTTTCTGACTGTGTTATATACATATGCATTTCCTTATGTTTGTGTGCTGTGATCATTTGTATTTTTTTCAGTCTCACATTTTGTGAATCTTAAGAAAACTACTTTTGTTTTTGCACAGCAGCACGCAAACGCTCTGATCCATGAGAATTGTATTGATAGAAAGTGCCAGAGACTATATCAGCCATGAAAAATAGATAATTACTATAACTGGGAATAAACACAGAAAATATCACCTTATAGGTCAAGGAACATGCAATATAGGAGTCAGAGCACAAGTTAACATCTCTTGTCCCCACCACACACACTTTCTGCCCATGGAAGAATATGGCACAAGAATGGGCCTTTTTTATACAGTGACTTAAAAAAATTACATTGAAAAGGGATCTGATAACAAATGGGATAAGTAGTACACTTTAGTGCACTGTGAAAATGTGAGTAGTGTTAAAAATTTTGATTACAATGAAAAATGTTATCTTGTAGAGAAAATCCTATTCTTTTCTCAGTTCTCTAAATGTTTCTGAATTGTTGTCTTCAACTGAAGATCTGTTGACCAAGTAACATGTGTGGATGAAAAAACAGAGGACAGAAGTACTGCAAGAGCAGTAGACTGAGAAGTTTTGTTTTGTTGAAAATAAAACAGAATTATAGCCATGACACAAAGAAAACTCAGGTTTATTGAAATTGTACAATTTGAGACTAAACTCTAAAACCAAACATTCAATGTTTAAGCCAAAATTTTCTAGATTTGTACAATTATCATGCCATCATTTTCCACTTGAAAATTTTATCTTAACCAGAGTTTCACTTTTTTATTTTTTTTTTTAATGTGTACTTGTAGAAGCCATTGAATGAACCTTTTCTTCTTTTTACATTGAGCAGTGTGAATTTCACTATGAGATTCCTAACTGTACAAGAACTTCAGAAGAAAAATTTAAGTCTAATTTTGGCAGACTCACAATATAATACATCTACAGAAACATGTTATTAGCATATTATTATAATAAACACAAATTTCTCCCAGAGCTTTATGTTTTAAACATGTAAATTATATTCTTCCAGAATCGTGAATTTGCATCTAAAGTTGATATCAGTTGTGTTGCATGTGCCGTGGTTCACTGATCCTATACATACTTGTTTATGTGTTTGCATGCTCAAGTAGAGTTCATTATTACATCTTTTAATTTTCCCAGTTTGTCTCGTACTGAACAACAAAAAGTGATAAATTTTAGGTCCCATTTCCTTCATTATTAAGCATCATCATTGACCATGGTAATGTGAACAGAACAGGTCTTCAAAAGAGTGGTCATGAATGAGTTGAAAACTCATCCATGATATGGCTGATAGCCCAAGAAAATCTTATTGCATTAAGCGTCTTCACCTGCCCATAATCCGATACATTTGTTAATCATGTCCTCATTTCTTGTTAAAAAGAAATTCATGTTCATAATTGTGTTGTAAACTTGAGCGAAATTAGCAAAGAAAGTGTTCCTTTTCTGCTCAAATAATGTGGATATTGATACAATTTTTTTGCCATGTGGGGGTGAATTAGTAAGAACGTTTTCATTGAAGTCAAAACAGATGGAGGAAGATTCCTTGTGTACAAACATTGGCTTACTGTTGCTCTAACAGGGAGCACGAGAATAAGCACCATGGTCATTCACACACACACGGCCACGTACATTCACCTCCTGACACACTGAGTTCTGTTGCGTGGATGGTGGTGATGGGAGATGGGCTCCATAATTTCACGGATGGGATGGCCATTGGAGCTGCGTTTGCTGCCAACATTGCAGGGGGTTTCTCTACTGCAGTTGCTGTCTTCTGCCATGAACTGCCACATGAGCTAGGTGGGTACCGAGGCATGATGTTCAAGGTACATTCAAATTATGTCCCCTAACTTCTGTTACACGTGGTAGTATCATGTAATGTTTATTGCTTGTTTAAAGAGATGGCATCGCTAGACTTCCCACAGAACATTGTTATTGGCATAGTTGATGCATATCACATAGTAAAAGGCTTGTCTGCCTTATTGTTTCAAGTACAGTGTGTTATCAGCACATTTTTGCATCTGAGCCATGTCTACATGTGCCCTGTAGGCATAGTGGTTGTGACGTGTTGCTAGCCAGGTGTATAAGTTCAGAAAAGCACTACAGCTGAGTCTATGTATGGCTTCAGCATATTAATACATATGTATTAATGTTATAAGAATTGCATTTAGCAAAACCTGGTTTGTTAAGTTTAACCTTATTGGCCTTAGTTATAGGAAGCAATAGAAATGTTACTGGAAATATGCATTTAGATTGTGATCTTCTGGGATGTAACATCACATAGTTTCGTGGATGGTTATCCCTGTTGCATTGGAACATGCTGCCTCTATCTTTCACTTCTACCATGAAGATGGAGGCAGCATGTTCCTCCAAAATGTTGGTAACCACCTTCTAGACTATGTGATGTAACAACACAGACCACAATAAACATCTTCACTGCCTTGAAAAAATTCCCCCTCCCCATATAATTTATATATATGAATTTCTTATTTATTTAATTGTGCAATTTTCCATCTATATACTTCTCCCTCACCAAGTTCTGTACAGAAGTAATTGGCGCAGGTTGGTTGGCGAATAGATTATTGGATATTAACTAGTTGTAGCTACAAATCATTATAACACTTTGAAGATTACTGTAATTATAACACGTAAATAAAGTCTTCTATATCTGCTTTAACTGGTCATTGCTAGGTAACAGAACTAAACAATGGCTATTCCTCTGCAAAGTTTTCCCTCTCCATTTCCTGGCAGCAGATTTTAACACAGGAACTGTAACTCTCACACTCCAGATATCACTGCTCTACAGGACACATAAAGTCTTCAAATTACATGTTAAGTCCTCACTGGCCGACTTCTGATTCTTCTTCAACTATGAACTTCTTGCGGCTTACGTCAACTCTCCAGTCTAATTCTGTCAACTGCTAGTTCCAATTCACTCCAATCCTATAGCTTACAGCTCTCATTATATAGCCACAGCATGGACCGCATAGAGGACCTCTTCTATTCAGCATAGTTGCATAACTTATAACAATTGATTCCCTATTGTTGTCATGTTCTTAAGGGAGAAGGTGTTTACTGGCCATCGCATAGAAACGGCAGTTCTTCTGTTGTTGCCTGTATTCACTGCTGCGAGAATGTTTACAGACATTCCTCTGTTTTATAGAGACGGTTCATATGTCACAATACATACATACATACATAGATAGTTGGTCAAAAACGACTGTGGGATGTGGAATATGTCATCTAGTATCACATCTGGTGTTGTATGGGATACCTGAATAATGTAAGAAAGCCCACATCTCACTGTACCCTATGTTTTTGGGTATTCTGTACAATGCCCAATTTCATATTTTACCTGTCAAACCGTTGTTGGGCAACAGGAGGTGGAATGAGTTACCATGAAGGCAGACTCTTGATAAACGGTCGGTTGCAAAGTTACGCAACAGTAAGGAAAGCGGTGTTTCTCCGTGATGTGCCGAGCCGAGCCGAAGCGCGCTGGTTCCTACACAGCAATAAACAAATCTCGGCAGTGTTGCGAAGCAATGCCTCTGTAAACAGTGTCACAACAGTGAAGCAAGCTGCATTCTCTGCTGTCCGACTGAGGGTTTATAAGAGAGACTGGAATACCTAAGGAGTCAGTTGAAATGTAGCAGCCACTGAAGACAGTGTCAGTTAGTATTCGGAGTATTTGGCGAGTATTTGGAGTGAGTGCAAGACAGCCGCAGGAAGAAGAAGAATGGAACACGTTGTAACCGTTTCTCTAGGGCCCTTTGGTTGGGCACCACTCCTTCTCTAACCGTCTAGTGCGTTAAGGCCCTTTGTGTTGGGGGCCACTCCTTCTAACCGTCCTTCTCCGGCAGTCCTCTGAAGAGCCCTTTGGTTGCTGGTTGCATCTGCTCCTCTAGCTGTTCCCTCTCACCTGTTGTTACTTCGAGTTGGCAGGTTGCGGCTGCGTCCTTCCTATCCAGTTCTGTTTCCCTTTTTGTTGTTCTGGTGGATAATAGTTTGCGGAGTATGGGTTATCGGAGTGCTGGGCGCCAGTAAGCTTACTGTAACGGCTTACATTTCGGGGAAAAGGGGCGATGAACTGGAAACTACAGGTGCTAGGTACCGCATTCTCACTGGAGCGATGAGATTCGGTCTCAGGGTGAATACGGGCCTCGCGTCAGCGGGAAAGAGAAGAGCGTTTTAGGTAGGCACTAACACACACTGTTTAATTAGCCGATCTTGCTATACACGTACATGTATCAGCACTTGTTGCACTTCCTTAAAACACCTGGAAATCTCTCCAACGTTGTCGACCAGATCCCTGGCTAGTTAGTTAGCGGCTGTTTCTTTTAGCACAACCCCTAGAATTGCACTTTCACTTATACTTTTAGCACAAAGAAAATTTCACGTTAAATTTAGAAGAGTTATCCAGAGATTGTTCCTGCAAACACTTAAACATAATTTCGGCTGTACACTTGGAGGGTTGTTCAGAGACTCTTCTCGCAGACTGACCCTGCTTCGAAGCAAGAAATCTTCGCGGCTTCAGCTCCGCCTCCAAGTTACTACCCTAATTTCTGCTGATTGGAACAATTCGAATTTAGGGAGTTAACCATAATTCTCACTGCTCCAATCACATAACTTTAATTTGGGACTTTGGACCTTAAAGTCCTAACGTCGTTTTTGACAGCTGCCTGAAAAATTATACCAGTAGCGTGGGTTGCTGGCCTTCCCACTTTTGACTTACGGGGTTCAAAACCTGTCAAGTGTAACTTCACCAAAGGATCCCGCCGGTCAACTTTCTGACTGAATTTCCAGGAAAACTCTGCGGGGTGCTTCCTGTCTGGTCTTTGTAGCAGTGAAGCAGGCCCTATTCTTGAAACCAAGAATCGGGCTAAGTCACCCTTGAGTGTTCCTTGCTACATCTTGTGTATAATTACTCTAAAAGAAATATTGATTACAAATAAAGATGGTGGTGTCAGTGGTACGGCTACAACGTGTCATACTGAAGATAGTGTGTAGTATTTGTAAAGCGTGTAAACCCGCAACAGTGTTATAATTAATTGTAGTTACGACTTCTGGGTTGTTAATGAAACCGATTAACACTGAACAGCGTCTTCAGAAACAAACACGTTACAATATATATTACAGCAACAGGAAAAATTACTCTTTTTCATCTTAGCTGAGTAAAGCAAAATATATTTAAAACATTTGTTAATTAGAGGATAGTTACTCACTGAGTCATATATTTGGGTGATCTGTGTTTGTGATTTGGAATAGTTTTACATTGCAGTTGATCATGCACTTTTCAAAGTTTCACGAAAGGCATAATTCTGCTGTAGGTGACTTTGCTGTGCTCCTGAAAGCAGGGATGAGTGCAAAACAGGCTGTATTCTACAATCTTCTTTCCTCGGTCTTGTCTCTGCTTGGGATGGTGTTGGGAGTATTCTTGGGGGAGTCTGAAACTGCCACTGCATCAGTGTTTGCTGCAGCTGCCGGCATGTTCCTTTACATAGCTCTTGTGGATATGGTAAGAACCTCTGGCTCTTATTGAGTTTATAATGTGATACTTTTTTTGGTACTAAAATAATTTACAAACAGGACAAATAATATCAAACTTGGTAACTACTGGATGAGATAGCGTACCACAAGTATATAACTAGTTGGAAAATATAATTGAAGTTTTGACACTTTCATAATAAAACCAGATATGCTCAGTTTTGAGTCACATCAATATACAGGGTGTATCACAACTCAACGGCAAAACTTCAGGAACGAACTCCTCATGTAGAGAGAAGGAAAAAATTATATGACAATATGGGCCTGGAAATGCATATAATTACAGATCAGTAATTGTGTCTGCATGCCACTGAAAAGAATTGGCGACATGAGTGCTTTCTATTGGTGGGTTGGCCTTTCATGGGGAGGACAGCCTTTCTATCGTTGGGTTGGCTTTTCACTGGGAGAACAGCTCTATGATTATCATGACGTCACCTGTGATTACTTAGTGATAAATTTTCCTCTGCCAATTCTTTTCAGTGGCGTATAGACACAATTACTACTCCGTAATTATATGCATTTCCGGACCCATGTTGTCATAAGCTTTTTTCCTCTCTCTGTATGAGGAGTCCGTTCCTGAAGTTTTGCCGTTTAGTTGTGATACACCCTGTATATATGTATATATATCACCTTTTGAAGGCCCATAGCAATAATGTTGAACTTTAATGGATTTTATGTTTCCTCAATTTCATGTTTTCCCCAAATTTTCACTTTATCTTTCTAGCTCTGAATACAAAAATTTATCTGGTTTTACATTTTGTAGTTCAGTCTGAAAATACATACTACCAGTTGGCTGATGCACAGCTGTTAGTGATTAATGTGCACCATATGTCTTCACTAAGGCTTATCATGGATGAGGGTATTTTTTGTCCACTATAGCCGAAGCAGCTCACATGTTAAGCCAGCTTTGATCCAGTTGCATCTTAGTATAACTGTAACTCAGTGAGAGCAATGTGTCTCTCTCATGTCTGTTAAGTGTTCCAAAAACTGACCATTGCAACGCAGCAAGTGTGATTTTGTAAGTGGAAGATTCAACAGAAGTGCACCAAAGTTAAATTCTTCAGTCTCCCAGTGCGTATGTGACTTTCCTTTATAGAGATAAAATTTTATTATTGATTAAGATGAATTTAACATAAGAGGATGAAATATGGATAATAAAGGAAAACAAATTATTTACAATAAGTGATAAAGTACATTGTGGCATATAGACCCATTGCTAAGCAGCGACTCTGGTAACAGTGGCCATTTCTAGGTAATGTAAGCAGTAATAGAATGACAGGGTTATGCAACCCATTTATAAGTCATGGTTCAGTAAACACATTTCTGTGGTGTTGGACACAAACACAACAATAGAAGAACATTGTTATTTACGTGGTCCATGCCGAGATGTTATAAGCAGGACAGTTTGAAGGAATGAAGTGGTTGTTGGTTATAGTTGTCAGCAGTTTGGCTGAGTGAAGTGACATGAAGTAGGTGGTTGGTTCGTTTGCAGTTCAGTTCAGTTGAAAGTCAGCCTATGAAGAGGAGAGTAGGAGGTTGGTGTGAAGTGGCTGCCACCCTGGGACCCAGTTAGTTGAGCTGTCATTTGACAAAGAGTCCTGCACAGGTGGCTGTGACAAGAGGACCTGAGCACAGAAAGCCAAAGAATCTCCACTATGTTAAATCCGCTGCCAGGAAACGGCTAGTGGAGACTGTAATAGACTGAGGACACTAGTGTGTGTGTGTAAATGATGTGTAAAATGTAGTCATGGGTCACAAGTGTATAAGTGATCAATAGATCCATGACCCAATCCATACCCTGTCTATAGCCACAACACACCCCTAAAATGTGACCATATTTTAGCACAAGCTGGCTCATATTGGTACACATGTTATAATGGCATCACACTTGAGACATTCAGTGTCCGTGATAAACACTATCGTTAATATCCATAAAGACATTAAGAGAAGGTTTGTCCAATGTGGACCTTCCTCCAAGCAGTGGATATCACTGAAATGTTCACCACTGGAGAAACTGGAATCTGCACTTGCTACATGGTTCAAGCAAGCATATGGGAGCAGTGCTTCCATAGATGGCACCCACCTCAAGGGAAAGGCCTTGCACATCACCACTTATTTGGGAATAGCCAACGTTTCAGCTTCCAGTGAATGAATTCACCAAAATTCTGAAGTTACTTCATATTAAAATATGTCAATGAACCTTTGAAGTGATGTCACCAACAAAATTTCACTGTAGTATCAGTGCATAGGAAGTGTGAAAGATTTTTTCTTTTTCTCCTCCATTTTTGTACTTAACATGTTGGAACCTAGTCCAGAAGTGAATGGGTTAATGGTTGCCTTTATAATACCAAAGTTCATGTGCTAGGGTATATCCTTTCTTGTCATGAACCTGTATTTTGCATGGTTTCTGTTGCCGGTTTGAACCAGAGTTGCATCTTACATAGTTTAGAACACAACATTGAATAAAGGAATTGGGATAGTTCAGCCCTTATAATGACTGCCTTTGAACTTAGTGGCCAAGGTTCAATTCCCAGCATGGGTAATGATTTATCTCTTCTCGACTATGTCCAGATGAGTTCTAGAGATCACCAAGCCACCTGTCCAATGGGTATCATGGGCCCTTACCCGGGTAGTCAGACAGCCAGGGTTTGAAACTGGCTATTCACATCCATCTAGTATTAAGGTTAAGAATGTGTGGAGCTGTACCTACACTCCCTCATGCATCTTCATATGTGGTACTTAATTAAGCACAGCTACAACATCTTTTCATACCTTTACATTGAATAAAGGTACAAGGTGGTTCAAATATGACCGGGACTGATTTGTGTGTAAACAAGCCACACTGCGCAGCAGCTGTGCAACCTTGAGAGAGTGATGCCACAACCTCCACCCTTCCTCCTGTTCGGGTTAGAACTTGTTCAGTCCTGCCTGGGAGTTGCTAGAGTGATGGGCGAACAGAAGGTACTGTGGAGTGTGGAACACCGCATTGTGATCAAATTCCTCATTGGTGAAAACGTCCCGTCCACTGAAATTCGCCACAGACTCCAACAACAGCATGGGGAAGAGTGTCTCTCGTGGACCCATGTGTTTGAGTGGTGTAAGAGCTTCAGAGAGGGCAGAGAGCGTGTGGAGAATGAACCGAACGATCGTCAGCCGCGAACATCCGTCACCTAGCCAAACACTGATCGTGTAGACGCGCTTATTTGTGATAATAGGCGCATTACTATCAAGAAACTTGGAGCAGTGCTGTCCATCAGTGTTGATAGTGCAGAAGACATTGTGAAATACCACCTGCACTATCACAAGGTGAATGCACGGTGGGTACCACGCACTTTGACGGACATGAACAAAATGGTGTGCATGCAAGCTGCCAGTCGTCTCCTACAGCAGTTTGAAGATGGTGATGCATTTTTGAAGTCTATAGTGACCACCGATGAAACGTAGATGCACTACTTCATTCCTGCATCCCAGCAGTCATCATGCGAGTGGCGGCATACCAGTTCTCCCAAACCCAAGAGAGCACGGAGGAGCCGTTCGCCAGGAAAAGTGATGGCAACGTTCTTCTGGGACTGGCAGGGGGTTATCCATGTAGACTTTCTGACAGATGCCAGAACAGTCAATGCAGTTTATTACTCAGACCTCCTGGCAACAGGCATGTAGGAAAAGGTCCGATCCAAGTGGAAGACAGGTGGAAAGTGGGTAGCCTTCCTTCAAGAAAATGTATGCCCCCATACGGCCAAAACAACAATGGAAACCCTCTGGAAATTGAAATGGAACCTTCTGACATATCTGCCGTACAGTCCCGATTTGGCCCCAAGTGATTTCTACCTGTTCGGAAGGCTCAAAGCAGACTTGCAAGGCATGCGGTTTGTGGATGACGCCGTCATCCAGACTGTTCGGGAGTAGATACGCCGCCAACCACAAGCCTTTTTGAAAAGGGCATCAGGATGCTTCCAGAACATTGGAAAAAATGTGTTGACTACGAAGGGGAGTATGTTGAAGACTGACATGTGCAAGGGTTTGGCAATTATGGTTTTAAAAAAAAATCAGTCCTGGTCATATTTGAACCACCTTGTATCTTTCAAAATGATTAGATTACGAGTTCATATTAATGTGTACCTGTGTTTGCAGATTCCAGAGCTGACAACATCTCATTCGAAGGAAGGGGGTTCTCTTTGCCAGTGTCTGCTGCAATGTGTTGGCCTGTTGTCAGGGATTGGCATTATGCTACTCATTGCCACATATGAACATGACCTGAAGACAGTCTTCACGGACGACTAGTTAACTAACAGTGTGTGTGTGTGTCAGTAACATTGTTCATGGAGTAAAGACTGTGTAGATGACCCAAATATGTACGAAGGAAACAACCTGTATTAGTTAAGACATCACTTCCATTTCTTCAAGTTGGCAGTTAACGTTTTGGTACTTAGGAAGTCAACAGGCGTCTGACTGAGATCATTATTTTTGTAGCTACTATTTGAACTGCTTTCTGCAAGGTTAATCAGTTATTGTACTTAGAAGTTGCAGTATTGTCTTCTGGTTTTATTGCATCTGACATTCTGCATCAAGGGCTTGACACTGATGTTTCATTAGCTAAACTGTATTACACTGACAGTAATTTTTTGGTGCTTTTATTTATTATATGATACATTCCTGAAAAGAATCATGTTGCTACTGTATACTGTCCTTTTGACCCAAGACATTCACAATTAACATACATTTTTATTTTATGATTTTTTGTGTGATATTTTGGCATCATACTTAAGTTGACTGCCTAATTTCTCTTTATATTAGTGTAGAAATATAATTTTCTGTAGATGTGGACAATCAAGTCATCTCTCTCAGTGTTAGGCCAAGGAGGTGACATGTTCTTACACAACTGTGTTATCAGCATCTGTAAAATTTAAGGAATAAGTAGCACCTGTCATAGCAAATGGTCAGTGATACAGTGATTGAAGGACAGTACCCAGTAGTTTGGCCACTCTGAGAAAAGTTTGAATGAAGGGATGATTGAAGAGAACCGATAAACTGAATATATATACTACTACAGGTTTTGCAAACATGGAGAAGTCAATAAGATGCACTATGTGGAGGGAATTTCTAAAACTGCTTATTAGGTTTAACTTGTTTTCAATTAGTAGTATTGTGAGACCCTTTAAACATTTCGCTGCATATTATTTTCTTGCCATTTTCATAAAATGAAAAAAAAAAAAAACAGCAATGAACTTTTACAGCCCAGTAAATGAACCCAAATGACACAGCAAAAGGAGAAGATTACTTCTTGACGTGGACTGAAGTCAGTGTTACACTGTACAGTAATGGTTGCTTGTTTGACTTCAGTCAAATATTTCGGCAGTAGGGTTAAGATTTGTGCATAGATCCAATGATTGTCAAAAGGAAATCAATAAGAGATAGAACCATAGTTCTCCAAGAACTTTACATGCATAATAGCGAAGAATTACCATATTTTCTCATTTAATCCGTGCACCTGAATAAAGCACACACTGCAATTTTTAAGAAATAAAAAATCCGGCAAACTTTATGTGAATTTATTGAAATACTGAAGTATTCATGTAAGTGTATGTGTATGTAATATATAGTGTCTTGAAATTCAAACTTGGTCATCTCTGTTTATTTCTGCTATAGCCTTGTCTTGCAGTATCTGATGTCCTTCCCCAGGGAATCACATTTATAATACACAGGTAAGTTATTCCAAAAAATACCGCTGTCAATCCCCAGTTTATACTATGCATATGAAATCCTGCTTCTAACATATCTGAAAGGTTTTGGTCCATTTCAGATGAAGTCTTATGTGTACCAATCTACCAACAACACAGTTTCCAATTCATTCTGTCCCTTGAATTATTTTCAGTTTTCACTTTCATGTAATATCATAAAAGCCTACCTTTACTCATGTTTAAAACGTGTACACAAAATGAAGAGGAAATTGTGAAAGCTGAGATCGTGCTTGGAATGAGTAATGTTGACAGCTAATAACAAATAGGCTGTGCACCAGTGCCAACCGCAACACAAATAAACTGCATACCACAGCTATCCTCTTAACAGATAAAGTCCACACAGCTGTCAGCCTTAACAAGAATAGGCTTCACACACAAATTTTTGGACCCCCTCAGCATGAGATATTTGAGGAAACACAGTATGGAATGATATGAAAAATGCAAAAAGATTTTTATTCTTCAGCTAGTACTTTCAGGCAGATTGAAACAGACTGGAAAGCAGAAACCAGAACTGAAGTATAAACTTGTAAAAGGAGACGGGGCATTTCAAAATAAGATCTAAAAGTTTATGATGATGGTACATTAGTACTAAATATTAGTACAAACATCCATCATCCTGTCTTTGTATAAAAACACCATCATGTTTATATTTCAGAGACTGGATTCTGTCTCCAACTTCAGGTAAAGCCTACTCAGTTGAGCCCAATTGATAGATCTACTTGCTATCTCCAGAAATCTTTCTAGCCTGCTTGTTTTCCAACTGAGCAGGTCCCCCACTGTGAGATACCTTGGGATCATGGGTGTCAGTATTATACAACTCATTTTATAAAGGGATGTGTAGTCCCTGAAAGTCATTAGGTGAAGAGTTGTAAAGCAAAATTGCATTTCTCATTAATTTAAAAGCAAGAAGTTCAGGTGACCAAAAATAATATTATATATATACAAATAAATAGTAGTGCATGAAAGCACTATATATGGTCCGGTGACTGGCAGCCTCATTTGAAGTTGGTAATGACAATGACATTTTGACATTTGAGGTTTTCATGGCAATTAAGTGTCAAAAAAATATTTGGGGGGTGGGTATTAATGTTTCATTTGCATTAATGTGCAAATACATAAGGCAGGACATTCGTAAAACAGTGTACATTTGAGAAACAATATATAGAGGACCATCTACGTGACCTGACATTAAAATAAAACAACACACAAAGTGTGAGGATTAACTTATTGTGGTTATATTTCGTTTCACTCATAACACATCAGGTGATTCAAAATAATTAAGAGGGTCCTTGAATTGTGGGTTATGTTAAAATGAATTTCAGTAAGATGGATCCACTTTTCACATTGAGAAATGTAATATATTTTGGTATTAAAATGTTAAAATCCTTTAATTTTTTCTTTTAATTTTAGCTGTATTTTTCTTTTGAATTGAATTTAATTTAATTTATATACATTCTATAAATCCTAAGCAGGTTAGTACCTTTTGATACAGAA